ACTCAGCGAGCCGAACTATATATATATATATATATGATTCAAATCTTTTATATCACATTAAAAATGTCATATATTTAATTTTTAAAAGATGAAATAAATATTTTCATGTGGTATGTTTGTAAAAATGAAGTTAGGTGGTAGAGATATAAATACATAGAAATTGAGTGATATATGTGTAAGTTTTCTTTTTTAAAAAGAAAATCCTACCTACCACAGGAAAGTGATTAAATTTGAAGATAATCTTGGCATAATGAATCATTAGTACTGAGTTATTAATTTATTCAAAATATTAGAGGGGTCATTATGAATTCTATATGGACTCTTGTGCAAAACTCCAATGTTATCCTTTTTATTTCTTCTAATTAAATGAATAATAACAAAATATAAGAGACAGCGTGTAGTTCAGATTAAATAGAGATTCCCAAGATCTCTTATATAGTTTATAACTCTCTAAAGATAGAGTTATAATAAATATGGAATATAATCATTAGTGTTTTCCAGATCTTTCAACAATTTCTTTAAGGCTAATAAGTGATACGAGAGCTAATGATTTGACAAAGATTGAACAGTTCTGTTGTATAGTTTATATGTTGTTGAATAAAGTACTAGTGCGGATGTAAATGAGCTTCTGATTTCAAATTAATATGGTAAATTTGTAAATGCGTAGGCTTCACGAAACAAATTACATTCAATACCCTACATCCCTTAATAAGTTTCTCTATCACGAAAAAAATATTATGTACAGTATTGTATGTGCGTACAACGGGTGAGATTCGGACATGCCAACGTGTAGTTCAGATTTCTCGAGCCTCATCTGTTGTTCGCACCTGCAGATGACCGATCATACGTAATATTTTCTCTTCTCAAACGTGAAAGCTCAAGACTGTTTCAAGCTATGCTAAAGCCAACAATATCATAAAAGCCACAAATCATATAAATATTTGTTCTTATATAATTAAAAAAAATAAAATTTCATATTTATATTTATAACACTCTATACACCAATTCATGAAAATGTGTATTCAACTCTTTAAAAACATATTATATAACAATATTTTTTGACGTGATATTAAAATCTGTCTGCCATGCATGCAAATATTAAAGTTTACCTGCTATATATTTAACATAAAAATATAAGAATTTTCTGGTATTTATGTAAATGCCCCCTCAAAAGATAGTTAATTACATATTAAACCTGCTGTCTTACATGCATGTATAGGGTGGTCGAATAACCTTCAGCGGGCAGGTTCAGAACTACGTACAGGCAGTAAATCAGATAGTGGAGATGTTAGGAGACGAAGACAGTGCTGCAAATTATCTAAGTAAATGTATATTTCAAGTAGGAATGGGAAGCAATGACTATTTAAATAACTACTTCATGCCCGCCGTCTACTCCACCGGCCGCCAGTACACGCCGGAGCAGTACGCCGACGCCTTAATCCAGCAGTATTCCCAGCAAATAAGGGTCTGTACCCAATCACGTTTTATTTCAATTCATGACTAAATCCTATTAATAGCATAGTACTCGACACCAATTATTTCTTATGTACTTACTACATCAAAACTCTCTACAGACACTCTACAACTACGGCGCAAGAAAGGTGGTGATCGTCGGAGTTGGTCAGGTAGGCTGCAGCCCAAGCGAGCTCGCTCAATTGAGCTCCGACGGCTTCACGTGCATCGACCGGATCGACAGCGCCATCCAATTATTCAACAGAAGGCTCATACAGCTGGTGAATCAGTTCAATCGATTGGATGGTGCTCATTTCACTTTCATTAATGCTTTCAATATTTTTCAGGACATCATCACAAATCCAGCTTCTTATGGTACAGCAAACCATCTTAATCCCAATCTTCATAAAATTCAAACATTCATCTATAAAATGGTAATTTTTGCAATTTTTGAATTTTCAGGGTTGAGGGTGACAAATAGAGGGTGCTGTGGAGTTGGGAGGAATAACGGTCAGATAACCTGTCTGCCTTATCAGACTCCATGCCCGAACAGAGCAGAGTATTTGTTCTGGGATGCATTCCATCCCACTGAGGCAGGGAATATAATTATAGGGAGGAGGTCTTATAGTGCTCAGTCTTCTTCAGATGCTTATCCAATGGATATTCGCCACCTGGCTCAAATTTAATTTAGATTTTATTCAGAATAAATTATATTTGTTATAGTTGTTTTTATAGTAATAATACTTATGGAATTGTATTTTCTGTTGAAATTTGTTTTTGGCTTGGATTAGGGTTTTGATTAGTTTTATGAGAGGGTTGAAGGTATATTTTGGTTTTTGGTTCGAGTTTATGTGTTTGAGTTTATGAAAGGTAATATTCAATATATAGTTTGTGAAATATAATATTTTATGGTAAGAGGTTTGTTAAATATGCTTCGTTGGGACTTGCAGAGAGTTTGAGATTACATGATCCCCTCGAATAGTCGTGAGTGTTAAGAGATGTGGAGATCGGTTTAAGAGGTCAGAAGCACAATTTATAATTGAAAAGTAAAAAAAAATAAGAAAACATCGAGATTTAATGTGGAAAAACGCGAGAACGTGGAAAAAATAGGGTCATACAACACCAATAAATCTATTATGAAGAAAATGAAAAGAATTGTTCCAATTACAATACACTCAAGACTACCCAATTTGGAACTCGAACAAAACTCATTTTCTTCTCCCTCACATAAAATAACTTCAAAATCATGCACAATGAAATCAAAATTGGCACACATTACCGTAGTGAAGCCGGAACTCAAAGTGAAAGGTATCTCAATTCGGTTGCTAGCATCGGGGTACCGTGATATCGTGACACTCCAACGACCACTGGGGCGCTGCTATTTCACACTTTCAAGTTTTGAATATGGGCTTGAGCGCTATGGCGCCCACTTTCGAGGTGCTAGGTATAGAAGAAAAAATTTTCAGGGGCAACGACCCCCATTTATCTTAAAAAATTATAAGGTAGCGCCCCCACCGAGAAATCCATAACGAAGAAAATTATACAAACTATACTACACTCAAGCCTCTCTATAATATGAAAGTACTTAACGACCACTTTCTTTTTTCTTCCTCTCATAGAATAACTTCGAAATTGCATTCAAGAAATCGAAATCAACACACATTTCCACCACGAAAATGAAACTTAAAGTGAAAAGCGTCTCTGTGTTCTTGCTGTCATCGAGGCACCGCGATATGTCTCTGCGGCGCTTCAACGAGCTCTAGGGCCCCACAATGTTGTGCTCTCGGGTTCTGAATCCAGGCTTGCACGAAGCGGCTCCCTCTTCCACAACGCTAGGCATTAAAATTTCAGTCCGAAACCTAAAATAGGAGGGAGACCCCTTTTTTTCCCCTAATTACAATTTTTAGTATATTTTGGGAATTTGATTGCTGAACAACCGGATCACATAATACAACAATTAAACTTTATTCCTCACAAAATCTTAATTTTTATTAAATTAAATAAAATATTAATAAACATAGGAGACATATTTTTACGAGAAATAACTTTACAAATATTAAATGGAGACCTCAGAGGAAAAAGAAAACACTTCAATGTTTCCTTGCTTCTTTCTCAGCCTGAAAAATAAGAAATTAAATTCAGGGTCTGCTTTAAGATGAGTGCAACACAAAAAATGATTAATTATTTGAAAATTTTACATGCATGACATACAACTCTTATGCATTTACATATTTAACACTTTTAAAATTTGATATTAACGTTTAAAACATCTTAGCATAAAAATCCTATGTTCGAAAAGGTGATTTTCACTTTTAAGAAGTTATTATTGTTAAATTTTAATTTATGGCCCACATTTATTTTTAATAATTTATGAGATTTATTTTGATAACTTAAGTTATTTATTTTCTTAACTCATAACTTATGTCATAACTTATGATATTTATTTTTATAACTCACGATAACTTAAGTTATTAATTATCTTAACTTATAATTTTATGTCCTTATGTTAACTTATGATAACTTATGATATTAAATTTGTAACTTATGTAATCCCTAAAATGAATAAGAGTTACTAAATTATGTCATTAATTTTAATAATAAAAATTAATTAATTTATTAAATTATCATAAGTTCTATTGGTTAGTAACCCTCTTAATGGATGGTGGTCAAATAGAGTATAATTCAGAGAATGAGTCATTTCTCTTCCTACCACACCCCGTATATTCTCCTCTATCAGAAAGTATAGAAAGTTTCAAAGGATTAGAGAGAGAAACTCATCTCTTCAAGATCAAATTTTATTATCATGAATACATGTATGTTTTACTTTATTATAGATATGTTAAACTTATGAATTTAAAAGATCTTGACTATTATGTATTTTTAGAATTTGTGTCATAAATGTTAAACATGAATTTCTAAAATTATTATAATTATACTTTTTTATGGTGATGGCAATATGAAAGGTTAGTTGTTAGATATCTAAATATGTAAGACTTATGTGACAATTATGTAAATACCCCTACTTATCTATATATATTGCACTCATTTCAAGCCAAAATGAATAATGTTAGAACCCAACATGACCTAATTGTTCGAGTTTCTTACCGCATTGATGACTCGTTCGAAAGCCTCGGGTCCGTACCGCTCGATGTAACGTTCGACCGCCTTCCTCGCATCGAGACTCATTAATTGTATGGCCCTTCTTTGCTCCATGCTGTAGTTTGAGCTGACATAGCTCCCAATTCTTACATATTTCCTCACATAGTTCTCATATATGAAGGCAGCTCCATTGAATATTGGCAGAACAAGCCATATGCAAAACAAAAGCTTCATGTATGGCCACAAAGGAAACCTGTACATTGCTGGAAATATGAATATCTAAAATTTCATGCAAATAAATAAATAAATAAAGAATTACATATATACCAGACAATTGCTATGTGTAGTCAAATAGCTAATGCCTAAACTGTTAAGTTTTGCATATATGTCATCTTTCTAATACATGAAAATGTGTTAATTTACTGTTTAAAAGTTAAAAAAAGCTATATTTTTTATCTGATGTAAAAAGTATGGGTGATATAAGTGTAAAAAAATGAAGTTTAGGTGTTAGATGTGTAAATATATAAGAGCTGGGTGGTATGTATGTAAATTCCCAAAAAAAGATTTACTATGAGGTCTTGAGGCATAACATTATTTGATATTTTTATTATAATATTTAGAGACTAAATATTTTAATATATTTTTATGATGGGCTAAAATAAAAATATTAGGATCTTAGTTTAGAATTGCATCCAGAGTCCGGACAACGGACAATGGTCTTGACTCTGGACGCAATACACCCGGAATTTTTTTTTTTTCCTTCGGTTGTATAGCATCTGTTGTCCTGGCGCTGCTTGTGTCCGGACTCTAGATGTAATATTTTCTTGTAAAAATAAGTGTTTATTTAGAGCACTTGCTATAGATAGGGGTGTAAACAAACCGAGCTTGAGTGAGCTGAGACTCAGTTTGTGTTTAACTCGTTAAAAAATGTTACTTTTCATGTTTAGTTGGTTTATGCATTGAGCTCAAAAATTATGTTCGTGTTCGGCTCGTTTACTCAGCGAGCCGAACATGAGTTGTTCGCAAACAACATGCCAATTTGATAGCCCTTGTCTGATGTCCATACGTCCAGACACCGGTGACGAACCGGCCACAGAAAATACAATGGCACGGCCGGATTATCGTCATTGTCCGTCCGCTCATAACAAACAAGTGACAAATATTATAACTATGATTTAATAATTACATACCAGACCAAAACTCTATAGCAGGAAAGCTCAAAAAGGGTGGTCAATGAATACAAGACCCAGTACGTGAGCCACTGCTGATCATCAAGTGGCGAAGGGCTCTCGATTGCTCGCATCGATGCATATCTAATTAATTACATCAAATTAATTTTACAATATGGTTAGAAGAGCATAGTGGTGGGCAAGATTCAAATCAAATGAAAATTTACATACCAACCCCCTAATTCCTATGTATTAACATATAAACAACCTTAATTTCAATTTTTACCTACATACCACCCAGCCTGTGCCGTAAATGTTGAAATTTGGGTGGTTGATATGCTAATACGTAAGAATTGGGTGGTAAGTATGTAAATGCACTTACAAAGGGTACAGAAGCATCACCCCCGGCCTGATTCATAAGAGTCCGTAGCATGTATATGTTAGTAAATGAAATTAAAATTAAAATTAAATTAAATTAAGTTAGATAATTTATGTAATTATTATAATTTTCTTGATAATATGTAAAAAACTTACCCTATTAGAGCATCAAAGTGGGAAGCGATAGTCTTCAAAAAGCCCATCTTTATTTTGGGTGGTTAATTTGTAATTAAATTTTTGAAGGAGAAATGGAAGGTTACGGTATTTAAATGGAGAGGGTTCGGTATGGAGATGAAGCGAAGAAGAGAATTAGGTAAATGAAATTAAAATTAAAATTAAATTAAATTAAATTAGATAATTTATGTAATTATTTTAATTTTCTTGATAATATGTAAGAAACTTACCCTATTAGAGCATCAAAGTGGGAAGCAATAGTCTTCAAAAAGCCCATCTTTATTTTGGGTGGTTAATTTGTAATTAAATTTTTGAAGGAGAAATGGAAGGTTATGGTATTTAAATGGAGAGGGTTCGGTATGGAGATGAAGCAAAGAAGAGAATTAGGGTTAAAGTCTCCTTTTCTTCAGTGATAGGGAGGGAAAGAAGTATTAATGAGCAATGGAAGAGAAAGAATAACTTGAGGTCTTATATTTACATACATACCATTGAATTCTTATGAAATTACATATCTAACTTTGTTTGAAGGAGCTTCACTATTCAATGAAGCTCCCTTAAAAGTCACGTCACATCACGTCTCGTCTGTGGAACGGATTTTGTCATTTGCGATCTAAAACGATGAAGCATTGCTACTCTGCCGAAACAACTTCGAGAGATGTTGCTTAACGAAACAAAAGTAAATCCGCACATCGGTGTTCACGATGTAATGAATGGAGCTTCATTATCTCGTCAAAACATATTTTTAGAAGATTTTTCTTTTTTAATAGAGAAATCTTATTTCCTATGAGTAAAATTTAAGGAAAATTTACATGCATACCACTTTATGTATTTACATATCTAACAACTAAATTTTAATTTTTACACATGTCACCTTTTCTATTAATGAAAAGGTGAATTTTAAACTTTAGAAGTTAAAATAACAGTATTATTGGTGTGATTATGTAAAAGATTTGGGCGTGGTATGAATGTAAAAAACTAAATTTAGCTGTTAGATATGTAAATGCATAACAATTGGAGAACTAAAAGCTCGAAGAAAGGTGGATTAAGAGTTCACCGGAATCAATGTTTGTTACAAAGTTGATAATTTAAGTCAAAGAAAATAATTAAAAATAATAAATCAATATTAAAATTCTTATTTATTTACATATATAACCCCTTAACTTTAACTTTTACGTACGTGTCGTATTATCTATGCATGAAAATGTGTATTTTCGGTTGGTTCGAATGGACCGGCTTACAATTGGTCATCCGGATTGCTACCAAAATCCAAAATCTGATAAACCAAATCAACCAAAATTTTGATAAAACCGATCGAAAGAACCAAAGTTTAATTCGGTTTAAACGGTTCAGATACGAATAAACTGAAGTTTAATTATTTGTTAAAATTTGATTATGAATAAATATTAGAAATTACTGTCTTAAATGATTAATATCAATTTAATTTCATGAATCTTTCATTTATTTTAATTAAATATTACAACTATGTGTAAAATGATGTTTTAAGTTTCAAAAAATGATAAGAATTTACATGCTATGGATGTAAATATGAAATTTATGTGTGAGTGATAATTGAGGTGTGTATGTAAAGAGAAAATATTGTATTAGGACTTCGCACGTAGAGTTACGTGCCGATTACAATGAAATCACGCCACATAACAGTGATAGAAAAAAAAAATTTCTACTCTGTAACACAAAAAAATATCTCCTGTGTTATTCATGTGTTATTGTGTGTTATTCAGGCATTATTGATATGTCATTATAACACTGAGAATATTTCCTAAACAAAATAACACATGAATAACACGTAATAACACGGGGGGAATATTCCCCAGTGTTACCAGACCAATTTTTTTTTTACTCTATCACCTTCACGTTGATTTAATTGGACTCCACAAGTAACTCTATGTGCGGAGTCCTGATGAAATAATTTTTCGTATGTAGAAGCGCCAAATTCGATATTTAATATTCGTATAAGGTATAAAGACCTCATAATAAAAAAAACTTTAAATTTGGATGATTTCAACTGAAATTTATTTTAAATTCATTCTAAATTTTTTATATTTTCAAATTGATGCCTTAGGTCCCGTTTGGCGCAGCTTCTTCCCCGCGTCCGGCGTTTTCGAAACGCCGTGTTGGCGTTTGTTCGGGCGTTCGCTCCTGCGATCGGTAAACGCAGCGATTAAAATCCTATATCTTCCCTTAGGTCCTTCGACGCTCCCAACCTCCCGCGTTCAGCGTTCGGCGTGGGATTATTACCCCGCAGCCCTCGTTCTCTCCGGAAGCTCTATCTCACGAACGACGACCGTCCCGTTCCCTAGCTCGCTTCGCTGTCGTTCCGCAGATCGAATCGAAGGCCTGGCGCTCCTCTCTACGGTTCCTCTGTAGATCGGATCGAACCTCGCCCCGCAGCCCTCGATCTCTACCCGCACCTCAGGTATGCTTGATGACATCTCTCGCCCATGATTCTTGTAGATTTTTCCTCTGCAGATCAGATCTAACCTCGCCCCGCAGATCATGATCGAACCTGCCCTTGCTTCTTCCTTGCTTCTTCCAATTCACGGCATCATACCTGATGGGAAATTTTTTAAAGCTTTGGTAGAATGAAGCTTGGCAAATTTCAAATAAAATTTAGGAGGCTAGAGAGGCTAGCATTTCAAAATCATTAGAGAAGAGAAAGCTTACAGATTTATTCTGGATGTGGGGCATTTTTTATGGGTCAAAACAGAAAATCATTTAAGAAGAGAATGCTTACAGATTTATTCTGGATGTGGGGCATTTTTTATGGGTCAAAACAGTGATTCATCCTTTGGTTTCTGGCATGTATTTGCTCGTTGCTCATATATACACATATCTAATACCTGAAATTTGCGTCCTACACCAGGCTTTGAGGTGGCTTGAGCTGTGCAAAGTAGTTGGGGTTATTTATTTATTTATTGTTTCTTTTGGAGATCCTCAACACTGTTCTGAGTATTGATTTCATTTGTTGCATCACCTACATATAAAATCAAAGCCTTGGAATGGTTCTCAGTCAAGTTTTCAGGCAATTATTTCTTCTTGTGTTTGCTCCGTCACTTAAAAGTGCTTTTGTGTGATTTGTTTTTTTTTTCAATTGAAGCTTGTATAGAAGATGACTAAATAATGAGTGAAAATACAATGGAACTCTCAATTTGGTGATTTTGTTCATTTATTATGGAATCCTTGTTATACCTGTTGTTTCTTAAACCTAAATCCTTGTGGCATGAGATTTCTTATGCATTGGTTTCAGAGTAGGATCTTCTTGTTAAAGGTTGTTAGTTTTGTATGGATTCCCTTTTGATATAATGCATTTGTCCACTTTATTTAATTTTAGAAAAATTCACATGCATATCACACAATCCTTATTGTACACTTTATTTAGTTTTTTTTTCAGTTTGTTGGTTCCACGACATGTATGAGTGTTGATTCATTTTTTGCATAAAGCTATTCTTAATATGTTTTTATTCAGAATAGTTACACGACACTGCTGTTGAATCATGTCTAAAGTGGTTGACGGGGGCCAGTCCGCAATGTGGGACAAAGTCGTTACAAATATTTTTTGTGATATGTGTATTAAAGAAATAAAACTGGGTAACATACCAACAACGTATTTTAATAAGGAAGGGTGGCTAAACATTGGCACGAGATTCAAAGAATTGACTGGTAGGGATTACGACCGCCTTAAATTTAAAAACAAATGGGACCAGTTGAAGAAGGAATGAAAAATATGGAAGGAATTGAAACGTGGATCTACCGGTCTGGGTTGGGATCCGATTAAAAGGACAATTGATGCTCCAGTTGAATGGTGGGCTGAAAAACTAGAGGTAATTTATATATAATTCATGATTTGTTAGCTTCGCAAATTATTTTATCTAATTATAATTTTCTAAATATCCCCTCTAAATGCTATTCCACAGGCAGTACCGGCAGCGAAGAAGTACAAACAGCGTGAAATAGAGCCGGAATTTGAAGAGAAATTGGACATAATGTTTAAATGGGTTGTCGCAACAGGAAAGTTTTCATACAACCCAACTGAAAGTGGTTTTACAGGGATACCAGATGAGATCACACCTGAGCCAGTGACACCAGATGAAGAAGTTCAAAGCATTAACCAGAGGGGTATCGGGGAGTCCAATACAATTTTAAAGAGGCCAAGGATTGCTAAGAAAAATAAAAAGAAAGAACATTCTGTGAACACCTCCTTCGACCGTTTAATTGAAGCTTTTGCAGCTCCACCAATATCTGAAGCTAGCATATTAGACTGTCTAAGGCTTTTGAGCGCTATTTCTGAAGTTGTGGCCAACAAACGATTTCATGCACAGTGTGTGAAAAAACTTGAGGATTCAACGCGAATGAAAATTTTCATGGCGCTAGCGCCTGAATTGCGACTCGAATATTTGCGGGTTTTGGTCGAGGAGTGATTTTTTTTTTATTGGTATATGTATTTGGTGGAGAAATATGATCTTTTTAGTTAAGAGA